AGCCTTGTGGGCTCCTGGTCTCTAGTCACCTAAACTCACTCCCCTTGCAGCCCCTGCTCCGCCTAGAGCTGAGGGGGTTTCCATCGTGGGTAAATAGAGATGGGAAGACTGCCCTGTTTCACGCCCCTGAAACGGTGTGAAGCATGACAAAGCAAACCACGCAGGCAGGCCCTCATTGTCCATGGGATGTGGTGGCTGTTTCAAGAACGAGACCCTCTGACAGCGGGAGGGGATGGGGTACAACTTGGAACCTTGAGCTAAAATGGCATTTTATCATGACAACAGAAGTGAAGTAAGGACACTCGCCCAGGGTCTTTCTGTGCCCAATGTTTTGGGATGTGGGTCCCCATAAGAGTACTTCCTTTGGAATCCTGTCCACACTGTGCAATTCCATATTTGGAACTATATGCGCCTGTTCTGTCAGACTGTAAATCCATAAGTGTAAAAAATAAAAAGCACACCTCTTGTGTGGCCACTATATTTCTGTTACCTGGTGCGGGGTAAACAGTGCATGAAGATCTGTTGACAGATGGACAGATGCTTGAGAAAATTCAGTGTGTCTTACCCCCAGGAAGCAAACGGCGTTGCTTTCAGTCTGGCTGAGCTGAATTCCGCAAAGGCAGCGAGCGGTTTGGTTCCTTTTCACGTTGCCACGCCCTTGGCACCTTGACCAGTTTGCCTGGCACACAGTAGCCTTAAATATTTGCTGAGTATCGACTATGCTTGGGTATGATTCCAGAGATTTCTCACCCAAATCCACTCCCTCCTCCCCCCCACTTCCCCACCCTCTCCGGGTACCTGAGTGACCCAGCTTCTCTGTGTGAAGGGAAGTTTGACAGTAGCCGCTGTGAGGCTGGGTACAAAGTCTAAAGGGTGTCCAGGTGTTACCGGACAGCAGTTACTGCTCTGTGTCGTCCCCTCCCCCCACCACACTACACACCGATGTTGCAATCCACACTGCTGGCACCGAGTAATGCATTGAATAGCCGTCAAAACAGTTCTCCCTGTCAAACCCAACTGTGTATTTATTAAAAAAAAAAAGAGTCTCCTAGTTGACAAAGTAGAAATATTTTAAAATTGTGTGTGTGAGAGAGAGAGAGAGAGAGAGAGAGAGAGAGAGAGAGAGAGAGAGAGAGAGAGAGAGAGAGAGAGAGAGAGAGAGAGAGAGAGAGAGAGAGAGCCTGCATGTGTGCACATGACTGTGGTCCTGGGCATGCCGTGACACTCAAGTAGAAGATGAGATGACAGTTTTCAGGAGTCGGCACTCTGCTCTCTCTGTGGGTTCCAGGGATTGAACTCAGGTCGTTTTGGGGCTGGCACAGCAAGCACCGCTGCCCGCTGAGCAGCTTTTCCAGATCCGTTCATTTCTAAGCCATTGGAAACTCGGGGTGACTCAGCTCTTGAGCTCAGGCAGTGCCCTTTTTTCCCCCTGGCAAAGATGACCTTGACCTTCTTGACCCTTCTGCCTCTACCTCTGGAGTGCTTGTGATTTCAGGCATGGACCACCATCCATGCTTTATGCGCTACTACCGTGGATGGATGGAGCATAGGATGTGTGGCGGGGAAGCATTCTGCCAACGGAGTAAAGCTCCGCTCCTGCTTGTGACAGTCTTTAGTTCCACTCACTAAAGCAGTCTCCTTAAGATCTTCAAATTCGGGCCAGTGACATGGCCCAGCCAATGAGAGTGCCACTGACAACCAGAGTTTAATCCCTGTGCCCGTGGTGGGGGAAGAGTGAGGCTCCCTGAAAGGTATCCTCTGATGCTGGAGTCAGTGCTGTAACACACACACACACACACACACACACACACACACACACACACACACACACAAAATCCCTAGCCTAGAGTAGGTTTACCTGATCAGCTCCTTTCAAACCTGGGTTTCAAATCTTGGTGGTGTCAAGGATTCGGTTGAACCATGGTGGTGTCAAGGGTTCAGTTGAGCCATGGTGTTGTCAAGGATTCGGCTGAACCATGGTGTTGTCAAGGATTCGGTTGAGTAGGCTTTCCTCAGCTAGTCCCCGTATTTACCCACGTGCTCCCTCTGGATCCCAGGAATGTGCAGCAGCCAGCTCCGATTAATGGCCTCAGAAGTAAACACAGCACTCACTGGAATCCACAGACTTAGCGGCACATTCTTCTCTGTTTTTAATCCGTGACTCTCTCCTCCTTTTCTTCTGTTAATCTGTGGTGCTCACGCTGCCTTGAAGCTTCGAATGGTGGGCAGGGAGGTCACCCTAGAGCCACCTCCAAATTGCTCCTGTGGTCATACGGCTCATGAGCCCAAAGACTTTAGATGATGCCGCAGAGGGTCAGCAGCCCCTGGTCTTTTGCCAGGTGGAAATGACAGAACCTCCCAGAAAAGACGGGCTGGTGGTTCCTGATGGTATTTCAAAGCTTCAACTTTTAGAAGCCTGGTTCCACCCAGCCTTCTAATCCCCGAGTGCTGGCTGGAGATCAGCCAGGTGGAACCCATGTGACTCCCTTTCTAGTCTCCTGTGTCTGCCCCCCCCAACTCTGTCACCACACCAGGGAGATTAGACAAAAGCCCTCTGCAGTTTGCTTTCTTTTGGAACAACTTCTATTAAAGAGGGACGTCAGTTCAAAGAGACTCCCTCTTTGCTCCACAGCTGTGTGGAGTTCCAACTTGTCTTGGGCTTCCTCAGAGATATCTTGAGATCCGGTGTGAACTTGCTGCGGTTTGCCTTCGGGTATCAAACTGTTTAGCTTGGCTCGATTATATAATAATTATATAATTGCCCAATATTCTTGTCAGCAATTTGCAGTCCATATTTTTAATAGAACCACTTGCCTTATTTTTCCACGGGTTCCTTCTGAACTGATATAAGCTCCTGGATTAATGTAGCCCTGCCCCGCAGGCCCCATGCAGATGCGTGTAGGGGTGACGTGAGCCCCGTGCACCGCCTGGGATCATTTGCTCCATGAAAACCCTCACGTGAGACATATCTTCTGACTGACCCTTCTAGGTTTTGCTCTACTGAAATTGCTGTTAGTGTTTGTTGAAATGTTGTGTCCTCTGAGAGAGATTTAAAAAAAAAATTATTAACCCATTTAGGGATTCTAGTTTTTCAAAGAGGAAAAGCTAGGACAAACTTCTGGTTGTTCAGTTCTTAAAGTTAATGGATGAATTCCAATTTATCTGTCTGATGCACCACCACGTAACGATGGTGAAGGAAATGTGAAGCTTCAAGGGGGAGCTGAAGTCGGTTTCATGGTTTTCAAGTCACTCTCCTAACTTAGCATCGTGCCACTTCTAGCTAAGCATTTGCCCCTCCCTGGGCCTTCATCTCAGCTTCACGGGGCCACTTTCCCTCTCTGTGTCCTGCTCTTTACTGTAGGCTCTCCCGGGTGCAATAAACAAAACTTGTTGGGCAGTAGCTAAGAATTACATAAGCCGTCACAACCTAATCTATTTAGTTGTCAGTGAGAAGACCTTAAAGAAATTGGAGTAGTGGTCAGAGTAGCTAGCGTTGGTTGGTTGGTTGATTGATTGGTTGATTGATTGGCTGGTTGGTTGGTTGATTGATTGGCTGGTTGGTTGGTTGGTTGGTTGGTTGACTGATTGGCTGGCTGGTTGGTTGGTTGGTTGGTTGACTGATTGGCTAGCTGGTTGGTTGGTTGGTTGACTGATTGGCTGGCTGGTTGGTTGGTTGGTTGGTTGACTGATTGGCTGGCTGGTTGGTTGGTTGGTTGGTTGACTGATTGGCTGGCTGGTTGGTTGGTTGGTTGGTTGACTGATTGGCTGGCTGGTTGGTTGGTTGGTGATTGATTGGTTGCGTATAATCTGTGAGTCACTTTTCTAAGCTGTGCTTGCTCACTGTCTCTGACTCTCTTACACACACACACACACACACACACTTCAAAGCAAAGACACTATCTCAAATAAGACAACAAATCCCCCAAAACATACATATAAAAATCACAAAACTCAACGGGGCATGGTGGCACACACCTTTATTTCCAGAACTCAGGAGGCAGAGGCAGAGGCAAGTGGATCTTTGTGAGTTTGTGGCCAGCCTGGTCTACACAGCGAGTTTCAGAACTGCCCAGACTACACAGTGAGACCTTGTTTCAAACAAACAATACATGTGTATGAGAGAGGAGAGAGAGAGAGAGAGAGAGAGAGAGAGAGAGAGAGAGAGAGAGAGAGAGAGAGAGGAAGGGAGGGGGAGAGGGAGGGATAGAAGAAGGAAGAAGGAGGGGGAGGGGGAGAGAGAGCCATAAAAGAACAAAGCTCTTATTTTACCTCTTTGCCAACATTAAAAAGGAGACAAGCCCTCACTGCCCCTTTATCCCGTAGAAGATGAACTCAGTCCTGGGCCAGGTGATGTAGAAGGTTCTTTCTAACCCACTCCTGTCTAGAGATAAAATAATAATTTTGTGTGTGTGTGTGTTTTCTAGATCGATTCTCAGTGCAATTGAATTTGGTACTGGTGATAACTTGTCATTTTGACACAAGACTCAGTTTCTAAGAACTGTTTCTTCTTGCTGGCACTCTGAGCTGCATGTCCAGCATCATTGCTTCAGCAGGGCATTGTAACTGCTGATATGACAGGTGACCTGGCGTGTCTGTAATGGTCCTAAAATCTCTGCACAGAATCTGCTTGAGTATGTGGGTGCTGGTCTGCAATGCTTGCCATTCAGGGAGGCTGAAACGGGAGGGGCTTTTGAACCCCAGAGTGTTTGGCTAACCTGGGAAACATAGACCCTGTCCCAAACAATCCCCTTCAACTCCCCACATGTTTAGAATGTCAGGTGCCAGTGTGCCACCCTCAAAACTATTTTCTGTGAGAGTCTTTGTTAAATAACCACCACCTCCACCCTCACTGATCTGAGTGCTGCCCTGCTGTTTGTCATGACAAATTGTTTCTCTCCAGTACTTCTCAGAAATTCCCCGTTTAACTTTTAACATTTAATGTGTGCTCATTTGTGAAATTTCAGTACTGGTTTCTCACTGAGATTTGTTTATTTTTCTAGGCAATCCGAAAATTGCAGAGAGGGATTTTTAAGGACACTTCTGACTTGCCAAGCTCGCCTTCAATCTGAAAAACCAAAGGCGGGAGGGGACTGACTCCCTGCTGGAGAAATGGCAATGACACCCCAGCACGTGATCACCATGTTTGCCCTGCTGAGCTCCTGGGCCACTGCTGGTAATTCTCATTCTGAGTTGCATGCTTCGTGTAGCTTCCTTTGAGCGCCTGTTTTCTTCCCCTCCTCACTCTCCTTGGCTAGAAATATCTAAGCCATGCTATCTTTTTTTTTTTTTTTTTGTAAAACGTGAGTGCTTATGTTCCTTGGGAAAACAAAATGTTTGACTAACGCCCGGATAGCACAGTACCTTTGCCCGAGTTGCCGGTTTAACTAGCCTGGGGTTAGACATTCAAAAGTCAAGGCGGCGGGGTGGAAGCCCAGCTGCCCTCTGTCGAGGCAGGCAGACAACACAGAGGCCCACTAGATTTTGTTGCGCGCCTACTACATAACGGGCGGAATAAGGATTTCATGGTCCTTTTTATTCTTTTCAAAGAAGATTCTTGCTAAAAACAAATAGATCTTCTATATGTCTTCAATATCTAGCGAGATTTGGGGAGGAGCGTGTTTGGTTTCAGCGGCTTCAGATACACTAACAAGAACACTTTTAAGGAGAAGAGAGAGGGTCTGAGAGGTGGGAAGAAAGATGGGGGGAGGGGGGCTTTGTGTTTCCCAGAGACCATCAGAGTATAAGGGTGGCACATGGGGGAGCAAATGACTGTGTTAGGAATATCATCCTGTGCCCCCCGGCCTCTTAGTGCTTCACGTCAAGGCCATGTGACAAATTTGGAAGGTTCTACTCTTATTTTGTCATCATTTGCTCTGCGAGTGTTCTGCAAGGAGCTACTCGAAAGCAGTTTATTGGCTTAGTTCTGGAAACTGGCAATTCTCGACAAGGACAGCGCTACAGCCAGCCACTGAGCTTTAAATGATTAGTAGTATTAAAAAAAAGGGTGAAAACACTTTAATTCAATAAAGCTCATGTAATGAAAACTCTGAGTGGGGTGTAGTTATCTGTGACATTTTTGTAAGAGATTAAATGAAAGATGGAGACACAGAGTTCGGTCTACACAGAGTTGTGTAGCTGAGGCGCGGAGGATCCGGAGTTTACGCTTAACATCTGGTGTGGTGGATGGAAGATAGTATCTGACCACAGCGGCTTCGCAGACAGACTGTGGGACTGTTTGCAGACAGACTGTGGGAAGGCCAGTTGGCAGAAATTAATGTGTAAGACTGGGGGATCAGAACGCCGCCCCCCCACCATTGCAAACGTTTTGAAAGAAAGTTGTTAGTTTGGGTTTTTCTTTCAAATGCCAGTGTGTGAACTTCAACTGCCCATTCTGTTCGTGTGACTCTCTGTCAGCAGTTTCATCTTGTGTCATCATTGAAGAGTTATTTGCCTTTCAGTGTGTGCATTTGCCTTCCCTTCTCTTCCCTCCCTCCCTCCCTTCCTTCCTCCCTCCTTCCTTCTCTTCCTTCCTTCCTTCCTTCCTTCCTTCCTTCCTTCCTTCCTTCCCTCCCTCCTTCCCTCCCTCTCTCCCTACCTCCTTCTCTTCCTCCCTCCCTCTTTCCTTTCTCTTTCTCTTTCTCTCTTTTCTTTTCTTTTTTTAAGATGGTCTCTCTATGTAGCACAGGCTTGCCTGGAACACACAGAGATCCACCTGCCTCTGCCTCCTGAGTGGCAGGCTTCAAGGCATCTACCAGCATGCCCGGTAAAATGTGGATCTTAACATTAAAATGGATCAAGAGGGAGAGAAGGCACATATGCTGTGATAAGCTGTGGAGCTGTGCCTGGGGGACTGATGCAGGGCACAGTTCTCCGCCTTATCACATGACTGGAGGGAGAGTTGCCTCATGGGAAAGTGGGGTGTGTGTGTGTGTGTGTGTGTGTGTGTGTGTGTGTGTGTGTGTGATGGCTTGTGCAGCCTTGGTGGCTTTGATTGTGGATCGGTCTTGCCGAAGACCCTCCTTTCTCTTTGGGACCATCAGGGGAGAAAAAACGTCTACTTAGTCTCACGTGTACCCAAAGCTTTGCAGAGCTGGGAAACAGAAGAGCCACAGATCTTACAGAACTGCGGGGTGCCTGGCACTTAGGAGGGACAGACGCCTCTGTTTGTTTTCCTGGTGTGTGTGTGCACACGAGCGTGTACGCACAGGTATGTGTGTATGTGAGTCAGGGTACAACTTCAGGGGGCACTTCTCAGGCTCTGCGCACTTTCTGCTGAGGCAGGACTCTCACTGGCCCAGAACTCACCAGGTAGGCTGGGTTGGCTTAGCCATCTGAGGCTGGGTTGGCTTAGCCATCTGAGGCCGGGTCACTCATCTGACCCTTCCTTGACCCTGGTGCACTACAAAGTGTGTCCCACCACACTCCACCTTTTAGATTGTGGGCTCTGGGGACTGTCTGAGGATTGAACCCGGGTCATCATACTTGCAAGACAAGCATTTTACCGGCTGAGCCCTAACCCCCACGGAGGCTTCTTAAATAGAGAGGTTTGTTAGTTGGTATCACTTTACACAACCTAATGGGACCAAATGAATGGAGGCAAAATCGATCTTGCCTGTGCTGATCTGTGGTGGCTCCTTCCTCTACCCCCTCATACAGCCCAGGCTGACCTCAAGTTTGCTAGTAGCTACTAAGTGGAAGACCTGGCGCGTGAGCCTAGGGTAGTTTTGGCTGCTGAATGCAGGCCATTGGTGCCTGGCTGGGGTCCCCTAGGAGGAGAGCCCACGTGTGGGATGAATGAAACTCTCAGCTGGATTACGTACCAGCTGAGCAGCCACAAAGTGTGAGAAATTGGGTAGAAGGGAGGGACCGGCCACTAGAACAGACCTAGGTAGTGACCTAAGCTGCCCGTGTTCATTTTCGTTTCACACAAAGGGCCTTGTGGCCATTTTCCAGGACCGGGCTGGGGAAGCAGAAGGGACGAAGGTGGTGAAAGTTGTCTTGTATGTATCTCCCATGGGGGAGGGGCAAGAACATGAGGTGCAGGGGGGAAGGGGGTGGGGTTCATGCGTTGACCCATGGCTTGGCAGGCCCTTCTGTGGAAGCCTTTCCCTCTCCCTCGTTGGCTTGTGCTGGGGAAGAGAAAGGGGAAGCAGGCAGGCAGGTGGCAGCCGGCCATGACCCAGGTTACCAAGTGGTGTGACAAAATGCATCCATCCTTTGCCTCCCCACTTTTCTTCCGGCGAGGTGTCGCACGGCATCGTGGGAGCCAGGGTTCTGCCCTCGAAAGATGTGCCAGGTAAGACCCAGAATGCCTTTTGGTTGGCAGTCGCCGTAGGCCAATGGGCCCCCTTTTCAGAGACACTGTGATCTATCTCACGTCGAGAAAGCAGGAGGGTTGAGAGTCAGTGCGGGCCACCGCTGCCACAGGCTCAAGTCTGTTTCCACTGTAAAGACACGCTGCACATCTCTAAAAAATAGTAGCTGCCGCATCCGAGGTCTGCCAGTGTCCACCGCGGGTGTTTCCAGAGTCCCGGTGATGAGAAAAAGGCATGCAGGAAGAATTCAGGGGAGCCGGCTTGGCTGCATTTGCTGGCTGGTGTGCCGGGTCAGCAGGTCTGCTGAGGAGATGAGTTCTGCAGAAACTCCCCTGCTGCAGCACTAGGGGTGAGAGGTGATGCTTGGCTACATCATTTCCTGTCTTGCTGTGGTGTCCAGGTGTGTCCTCTTGGAGTCTTGCCCACAACCTATGGGCAAGTTTTATCCAGCATGCTTCTCCTCATCCTATGGGGCTGCACCTGGGGTTCCAGGTGCAGTCCACAGGGAAGCCGAGATGGTTTTCAGCTACACTGCTTTCCTGATGAGGTAGCTTTGAAGTCCTGGGTCCTGGTGACAGACAGCAAGCTGAGGTGCTAGCCGGGTTATACTCCATTTGGAGTGGGTCAAGCTGGCTGCTTGGAGGGTGCCTAAGCTAATATTTGTAGCTGCCATCTTCAAGATGCTTCCTCTACTTCCCGTGTCACCCGTGCCTCCCAGCAGCCTCTGGGGCTAGTCTCAGTCTCTTCATTTCTAGAGCGAGAATGCTGGGACTGAGAGTAAGTGAGTAATTTTGAAAGATGATTCAATTCTTGGTCCAGGTAGATAGAACTCAAACCTACTTACTTCTACAGATAACCTCCAGGGTCGTGTGTTAAAGAGACCACCCCCCCACCAACACACACACACACACACACACACACACACACACACACACACACACACACACACACAGCACCTCATCTCCCCAAACTGCAGCCTGGTGCTTCCCTTGCCAGGGGACACAGAGCTGTCCATTTAATTAATCCTGACAGAAAACACATGATCTTGGCATTTAACATTGCCACTGTCTCTATGGCCAATATTCTAAATCACGTGGGGAAAGTTAAGTGCGGATACATTGAGAAATAAATCTGTAAACTAATATACACCCAAACGGTGAGATAGGGGGAGAAACAGTGATCAAAGTTCCATGCCCTCGGGAGGTACAGGCAGATGGGTGAGGTGTTCAAAGCCATCTTCAGTTATATGACAAGTTCAAGTCTAAGCTGGCTTGGCTACATGATTCCAGTTCAAAAAACACAAAAACAAAACAAAACAAAAAAAAAACCCAACAACCAAAAACCTCCCCCTTCCTCCCCAAAACCCCAAACAAACAAACAAACAAACAACAAAAACAAGAAATCCAGAGTTTACACTGTTTCTGTTATGTTGTCAAAAAAACATTGACATTCAGTTTTCAAATTTTGTTTTTTAATTGACAATTAAGATATATTTGTGAGGTCCGATATATTTTAATGTATGCACGTTATATGTATTTGTGTTATGAGATAGCATATTTAATATTTGAGTTGTCCTAATTTATTACTGTGTATGTATCTGTGTGTGGTATATGTGCCGTGGTTGGTGTGTGCAGATCAGAGGACACCACGTGGGCTCCAGGTCTCTCCTCCTATCCCGTGGGACCTGGAGATCAAACTTAGATAGTCAGGCTTGGCAGCAAGCACCTTTACCCACCGAGCCATTTTACTGGCCCCCCCCCCCAGTATTTACCACTTTTGTGTTTGTGTGGTAAGAACACTTAGAGTTTGCTCTAGGCAGTTCAGAAAGAATTAGTGTGCTGTGTGTGCACACGTATGT